TTTCCCTCCCCTCCCTGTCTCATTCTCTCTCTCTCTATTCCCCCTCTCCCCTTCTCTCTCTCACATGCACACACACATGCATACTCCCTCCGTCTTGGGTGGAGATTGTTTTTGTAATTCTTTCATCTCAGACAGCCAGTCTGTTAGATATTCCTTGGGTTTTTGGGGGTTTTTTTTCTTGTTGTTGCTTCCAATCTGGTTATAGGAAAGGCAGCTAATAGCTGATTAAATTGGTGAGGTCTCTCATGAACCTTTGAACTTGGGTGTGTACAGCCAGTAGCTCAGCTTTGCTCTCTGGGTGGTCTGGGCTGGAGCGGGGCCAGCCGTTTTTGCCATCTACATACACAATGTGACAAAAGCAAACAACATGATGTTAAATCATGCTTCAAGGTTTGTTCTCGCAAATTCAACTTTGAGAGCAGGGTTCCCCCTCCCTGGGATTTTTCTCCCTCCTCCCCCCCTCCTCTGCTTAGCAGGGTGGCTTTTTTATTTATTTATTTTTAGAAACCCGACATACGATAAACAGACGGTCCAGCCAATAACGCACGCTTGCCCTGATCTGTAATCTATAATACAGTATAATAGACATAAATTATATTTCCATGACTAAAGGAAAATGTGTATTTTCAAAGGGAATAGAACAGAGGGATATGTAAGACTACTGTCAAGCAGGAAAGTAAAAGGAAAATAGCTGTAGGCAGGAGATCTGCCTGTGTGGGCTTTGATCTGGGGGATGAATTAGTCTAATAGCCCTGTGTGTTGGCATCCAATACTGTAACAATTTAATAGTTTTTCAATGCTTTGGAGTGTTTTCCAACAAGTGATGTAAACCAAAGACATCACACAATGTTTCCGGGGAACTAAAAAGGTGTTTGCCACATGATAATTAAATTATTTGAAGACAGTTATTTCCTAGGAACTAGCCCCCAGAGGGAAGGGGTATTGGAAGAGAGAAAGCAAACTGGTGTGCAGAAAGTTACCTAGATGGAAATATAAAAGCAGAGCATCCCCAGCAGCATTCTGGTTCTACTGCCTTTTGTACAAAATCTGTCCTCAAACTTTACTGAGTTAAAGATTATAGTTACGGGAAAATTCACTCAAGTGACAAGGAGCTGTTTAAAGTGAGGTTTAGACTTTTGGCCAGTCTTGACAGAGATGAAACCATAATCTTTGTCAATAATATAACAGTGCATCATAGCAGAGGGACAGGCAAAGCAAAGGTATGAGCAAAGTGGTGAGGGGAGGGAAGAAGGGGTAAAGAGAGATGTTTTCAGAGGAGATGTAAAAATAAGCTGGAGCAAGCAGCTATTTAGCATCAGAAATAGTCCCATCCCACAATACATGAGGTGCCTATTCCAAAAAAGCCCTTAATATAAAGGGTCACATGCTGTTCCTATAGGACTCAGTTGATCTTTCACTACTGAAGTCAAAGGGGAAGAAATTCAAAAAGCACAAAAGTATATGAGGCCTGATTTTCATGTGCACTCACTTGTTGCCAAAACTGTTTAAGAAGGGCCTTAGTGTAAATAAGGATCAAGACTATTGGTTGCATTGGGTTTCCAACGAAAAGTGGCCCAAAAAAAGGATTTGATCTCTGAGATGTAAGTAAAAACCTATTTCAACTTCTAATTGCAATTCTTCCCTTTTAAAGTGTCTTCCCCCAGTGAAACTCCATTGACTTTGGTGTTACTTCTAATTTATAACAATAAAAGTGCACATTTCCAGGCCACCGAGTCCCATTTTTTTGTTTGATAGTAAGTATTAAAAAATTGAATTAAAAAAGTATCAGTGAAAAACAATCCAAAACACAGGATATACTTTCATCAAAAAAGCTGGCCATTCATACAGACCATGTCTACATGAGATGCTGACTATGCAGTTGTTACTGCACAGTCATTTAGTACTTGCAGACACAAGTACTAAATGACTGCGCAGTAACTGGTGTTACTGTGCAATAGTGTCCCTGAATGGCTTTTTGCTGACACTGTCTGTGCAGTAGCTCATTACTACTGTGCAGTAGCATCGCATCAAGCTTCATGCCACGTAACGGTACCGTGCAGTAGTAATGAGCTACTGCACAGTTAGCATCTCGTGTAAACGTGGCCACACTTACTTATTATCCAGTAGGTAAAATGTCCTATAAGAAATTAGGGTAAAGTAATAAAGTGTGTTTAGCTTAAAAACATTAGGAATCTATTCTATTCATACAAGGAGCTGCAGTTTACCACTGCCACAGTGGGTGAGTATAGCTCACAGGGTCTCTCTTTGTGGCAAGATACTTAAATAGATTTTACCCTACAGATGCTGCTCTTGACTAAGTTAGCCGTGGTTTAAATTTTAAGAAAAAGAAGGATCCTACATATATTTAATGACTGCGAATTAGGGGTGTGCAAAGTGGGCCCTAATCGACTTGGATTCAGATTCAGCCTGAATCAGGGACAGTGATTCAATTTGTTGATTCGGATCACTGTCCCTAATTCAATTCGGCCGAATCTGAATCTGAAGATTCGATGCCGATTTGGAGAATCAGTGATTCAGACATAGACACAGCTTTAAAAGCTTTTTCTACATATCTTGAGGTAGCAGGTGTGGCTTATGATTGCTGCGATGCTGGGGTGCATGGAGCATCCCACAGGAGTGCGTGGGGACGGGACATCCACATGCTAGCAGTGAATCTGGGTCTGCTGGGGAGCATGCTGGGGGGTCCCCCGCACCTCCCTGGCTTGGCAATTGGCTGCAGGGGGACCCCGGGTGCCCCCCCAGACCTGTGAGGCATCAGTCACCAAGCCGGGGGGGGAGGCCCTCCCTAATTCTGGTCCACTTCTGGGTCTGTTGCTAAATGCACTGGGGAGCCCCCCCATGCTTCTGTGGGACACTCCAGCTTTGCAGCACTCACAAGCCCCAGCTACCTAGAGGTATGTAGAAAAAACATTTAAAGCTGTGTCTATGTCCGAACCTTTCAGAATCTCTCTGAATTGATTCAATTCTGATTCTGAATCAATGCAGAGAGATTAAAGGGTCCTCTGATTCGATTTGGATTTGGAGATTCAGCCACCGAATTGGGCTGGATCTCCACCGAATCGAATCAGGGACCGAAGCTTCGCACAGCCCTACTGCTTATCAAGCATTTATTCTTCAAGTGAGAAAGAACCACCAGGCTGGATACATTCATACAGAGATTGGTCCAAAATCCATGTTCAGGAAAACTTTCCTGTTGATTAAAATGGGATTTAAGCTCACTATGGCTTAAATGCTTTTACCATTTTAGCTTAAAAATAAAGGCCAAGAGTGGTCTAATTGTGAGATGTGTTGAACACCCACAACTTCTACTAATTTTCACTAGAAATGTGGTTACCAGATATTTCTGAAAAGTAGATTCATTATTCTGGTGCCTAAACCCAAATTTTGGAGCCTAAATTCAGGGACCTGTTTTTGAAAGCATTGGTCAAGCAACCTAGGATAAGAGATGGCTCCACCTAGGTAAGTCAGTGGTGACTGAAGTTTACTGGTTGCTTGGTGATGATGGCTTGATGGCTTCAATCCAGGTTGCAGTAGCTCATGACAACAACCAACACCTCAGCTGGCAGTTCTTGATGAGAGGCACAGCAATGAGCACAAAAAAAAGAAAGGACAAATGAATTTCCTTCTCACTCCCGGACATGGTCATAATTAGAGCATGCTAGAAGTTCCCAGTGTCACTGTTTGTTTGGTGGATGCTTTTCTGTGGATAAATATTTTTAATGATCATTTTCTGAGAACCAGCCACAGGCTGGTGAACTTCAGTCTCTGGAGGTTGTACATTCACTCATAAGAACAAAACAACACACATTTTTTTAAATCCGGGAAGAGCGAAAAGCAGCGTAAATTAAAACTGGGGAAGGTCCTTTTGAAATCCAAATATATATAAATAGCTGAATATTTTTTTAAAAGTTGGTTTAATGCCTGATATGCTCAATTTCATCCCTGAGTGATTATTATGGCTCAATTATAAATCCTTGAAAATAGTATTTACAAAAGAAGCGCTGACAAACCCTTAAATATGCCATTACAGAGTTAGCAGGTGCCATGGTTATTGTGGCAAAATATGTTAAACAATAGTTTTCTCTTAGCATCTGTACAGTCATTATAGTTTTACTAGAGTAACGATAACTCATCCAGGGTGTTATCATAAAAGCATAATTTTACTAGGCAGTTTTTTTTCTGAGGTTGTATATTTCCAGAATACAAAGCTGTAAACCATTTGATTTGAGATAGTAAACAGGCAATAAAAGTGTCATGTAAGATTTTCCTTTTTTTTTTAAGCCAGCACTAAAAATTATTCACAATTTATTTTTAATTATGACACAAATTAAGAAAATGATGCCTGAAATGGAGACTCTTCATAAATTCAAAGGAGGTATTTTTTGATGATTGTTGCAAAGTACCAGAATAATAACAGGTATCATAGTTCAAAGATTATGCACTGAATCCCAGTCTGTTTGTTTGGCTGGATTGTGACTTTTGGCAGAAGGGAGATGTATACATTCCTCCATCTCAGATTAGATCCACAGGTCATTGGGAATCAAGCAGCTGAGTCACAATTCCTTTCCTTGATCTTGGAGGTGGTATTGGTGGTAATTTAGGGCCCGATCCAAATCTGTTGAAGGCAATTGCAAGACTTCCATTAACTTCATTGGGCTTTGAATCAGATCTGCCCTGGTGGTCTATGCCAACAGCAAATTGCCAGTCCCTCAGTGCTTTAGTAGACAAGTAGGAAAGGTGCAATCAAAGCTTCATCTGTACCCTGCCCATTTGTTTTTAGAAGGGAATAAGTAGTTGTCAGAGTTAGCACCAATCTGTCAAGTCTATTGTAACCAAGTAACTCGAAGTTACTTTAAAGAGATCTTGGTAGAACAGTGGCAGTTATAAACGCCTCCTCTTTTAGATCCGCATAAGGTTGCCTAGCATCCCTTTTTCTAATGTCTGTGAC